GACCGACAAAAAAAAATGTACTCATTACTTTGCTTATCTAACTGTAAGCCCTCCTCTGTACAATATTCTCACAATAAAAAACATTAAAAATAAAAAATAAAAGCTCCTGATTGCCTTTTACCCCTGATTCTGAATTTAAGAATAGTGGATACACCTAGTGAAATATCCCAGAAGAAAATCTATAGAGGAATCAAAATAATCAATATGAAAAATAATCTTTCCTGATCATGCAGATAAAAATAGGATGAGTTTTTTCCAGAGAAATCATTTTGCTACAGCCTGCCAGAATCACTCACTCTTTTGTGAATGTCTACAGTTTGAGCTTGCTAAATGTTTAATACCAAAAGTTGAATAAAACTCAGTCACTTATGAAAAACATGGATAATTGTTTTCAGCAAGTCATCCTTTGCCATGTCTGAGAAAACTCATAGGTAAAAGCTGAATTTACAGTTTTCACAAAACTAGGTATGAACATGTTGGCATTATTGATAACTATTGAATTTCTAAGCAGCGTGCTGATGGATCAAGGATGTAATCCCAGTTAATCAGGAAACTCAGGTCAAAAATCATGATTCGTAGCAAGCCTGGGCAGAAATGTCAGTGAGAACTTTGTCTCCAATATACTACTCAGAAAAAGTAGGAAGCAGTCAGTGCATTAGTCTTGGACACAGATATTGTGTCCAAGCTCAGACACTGTGTTCAAGCCCCTGTGCTAAAATGAACTTATAGGAAGATGGAATATATTTTATCCTTGTTACTGGCTTGTTGTTTTCTTAAGAACATTTCCACATGTCTAGAATATGTCAAAGACATTGAAACATAAAGAATTGCATAGGATTTTGAAAAGCACATGAAATATTTAAAGTTTTAAATGTGAAACTACATTTGTTCAATTTTGTACTTCCAGTAATTTCTGATAATGCAAACATAAAAGCTTAATATTTGAGACAATTACTTCAAATACTGACATATATGTACTCATTAATATCAGCAACCATGATATTTATGACATAGGAATACAAACATATATATATATAGACATCTCTATGTAAACATATAATATATACACAGAAACACATGCATATATACAGAAATATTTAATTTCATACAGTAAGAAACCAGAATAGAAAGTGCTCATGGTATGTGTACTCCAACATAAAAGAACTTACCTGAGCAGAGGAAGGCAGTGCTCCTTTTCTATTTCCCATAGTTTGAACCTCTGTTTGATCAAGAAGCATCTCATGGAGAGCCTGAGCCACAGCATACACAGCATTGTATATATTGTAACTGTCTCCAGACATAGTCATTTCAAAAATATGCCCAGGTAACCAATCCAAAGAGGCGTCATGAGGACAATTGTCCCATGTTACACAGTCAGACTCTGAGTCAGAGCAATTAAAAGAGAGAAACCACAACTTTGCAAGAAAAATGTCTTCTGGATATTTGGAAGGGTTAACTGCCTTCACAAAATCTGTGAATCCAGCAACTTCTACATGATGGTGTGTAAAAATAAGAGGTACATGAAATGATCCTAGCATGAAATATCTCCTTTTCAGGGTGAAATCCCATTGTGAGTTCATGATACAAACTTTGCCGTGTATAGCAATTTGCTCAATCAATACCATTAAACCTAGCAGTGAATCATTATCACCATATATGATGAAGACACTTGCTGAAGATAGATTTATCTCATTATGAACTGCTGTGAGTTTGAATACATGTGCCACATCTTGGGTTGACATCACTAGCTGATAAGCTACACAAACTCTGTTCTTGGCCATCTCTTCTTTCAACTCAGCCAGAAAACATGAACCATTCTCATCTTGTGAGGTCAACAGTCCCACCCAGCTCCAGCTGAAGTGAAGCAGTAAGGAGACCATGGCAGTGGCTATTGATGTGTCTTTTGGGGCCATCTGATAGAGAGCAGGAAACTTCTTATGGTCACTCAGGGCAGGATCAAAAGGCCCAAAGGTAAACTAAAGGGAAAGAAAATTGGACACTCCATGAATGAGAAGATTGCCATCCATCACAATCTCAGTCTTGACATCTGTTAAGAACCAGTTGAAGTAGGTGGAAGGTAGCTTTTGAGTTTTGAAAAACATAATTTAATTGCTTTTGAATAGTTGTA